CCTTCTTAGTGACTTCTTATGTTATTTTTTTGTAGCAAACAATCGGCCAAATTCACAGTCACGATTATCGACATTATAGAATCCGAAATCCGACGTTAAATTTTCAATAAATCCGTGATCCGGTACGTTTTAAATAAGAATCCGGCAATCCGCTCTATTTTTTCTTTAAATCCGTAATCCGCGTGTCATTTTAGGCCCAGATCCGCCGATCCGAAAACCTATTCAGCCCCCCTCCCCATTTAGTTATATCGGTTAGAGGTGGTTGCAGTTCGAGTAACAAGAAGTATCCTTTAATTTTCCTACGGTCACGTGAAATGCGACGTGACATACCGTAATTGACAGGACATAGAGCGGATTTCGTATGAGTGGGAAACGGACGGTACTGTACTGTGACCGTAATCGTACTGTAACCAAATTCTAGTGTCTCATTGCTTCACAAAAATTGTGCCAGGCCAGGTCCGGTAACTGTGCGGTAACCGTGCGGTAACGATGTCCCACTCATACGAAATCCGCTCTATTGATCATATCCAGAAGTACATATGTACTTCTGTCATATCAGGACAGTTGTCGCTTAGAAGTTTACTTGGATGTCATCTGACGTCACATATAGGCGGATCTTTGTTTACAAATTTTTGCTAATCAGCATAAAGTTTAAATAAAAACAAAGTAAAGTAAGTTCATAACGTAAAAGGGCTTATTAAGAACTGTTTTAAAAATACGAAAGTGTGATGTCTTTACACTAATAGTTTATGAGATAAATAGCATTCAAAGATACCGAGTGCCAAACGCGCTAATTAGTTCATACAATCTCTCTAAAAATTGGAATTTCCAAAACCGTTTGACGCAAAAAGTATTTCATATGGGAAGCTCAAAATTGAGAGGAAAACATATTGTGCTATGTTGTTCCAATATTCAGTGCTGTTTTACTGATAGTTAAGTTAAAACSTTATATGCTTATGCTAATGATATGTTAATGAAACGAAATGTAAACAAATTATTCGCCTATCTTCCATCACCACATCCCAGCCCCGTCTGGTGGTCTCTAAGTCATCACCACCGGCAGCCCAGCATGTCTGGCAGMCCAGCATGTCCGGCATCCAGGCCTGTCCGGTGGTCACACCGCCACCTGATGCATTAGCACCAGATATAATCGTCATTCAAACCTGTAAGCATCGAGTCAACAGAAAATTGGTCGCTCGTATTTAACAACACAAAAAGAAAGATTTGTTTCCTTATTTTCCCACATTTAGAGTTGAAGTGAGCGACATTTTTGAACTTTGAAAATGATCTTCCATTTCACCATTACAGGTCTCTACTTATAATCACAGTTAATGTACTAATTATCCACTCATTATATAGATTTCCGYGACTGCGCACAACGGTTTTCTGCTGGATTCAAGAAGAGTGGTGTCWACCAACTTACTCTGCCCACGAAGGCTAATATTCAAGTCTATTGTGATATGGTAACTAGCGGTGGAGGGTGGACTCTAATCCAAAGAAGACTAGATGGCTCGGTTGATTTTTTTCTTGGATGGAATGACTATAAGAGAGGATTTGGTAATAAGTTCGGRGAATATTGGTTGGGACTGGAAGCTATCCATGTCATGACGTCACGTGGCGGTTACCGGCTACGCGTAGACTTGGAAGATTTCGAAGGCAACACGCGATATGCAGAGTACAACATCTTTTCTGTAGCTGGAGAATCAGACAGTTATCGTCTTACAGTTTCAAACTATTCAGGTGATTCTTGTTCCCAGGCCCTAATCGCGTCAAGGGAGAATAGCCTGGGAACAAGGTTGATTAAAAGCGTCATTTATATACTACAACTACCAGCAGAATGCTTTGCCAACTTTCTATTGTAATGCAATTAGTGACAATTGTTTTATTAATCTCCAAGGGGATTAAAAATCTGAATAACAATAAAAATGCGCAAGGCTCTCTGGTAGTTGCAGTAAAGTTACGTCATAATGCAAACGGCCTATTTCTTGATGTTTGTACTTTCCTAAAGGTAATTAAAACCATAATAGGACCTAGTGACCCAGTAGGATCTCTAGTCCTTCTTTCTTGTATAGATGTACATATATATAGAGGGTCACTGTTGTACGTACATACACGTGGTTATTCATAAATTCCGTAATATAAATACCAGAAAAAATGTAGCGCCGGTTTTAATTCTTGACATATGTTTTTGGGGGGGAGGGGGGAGGGGGGTTGTATTTGGATATGTAAATGGTAGATCTTCTGTATATGTACATCCATATATGGAGTCGTACGACAGATCCTTCTTGGATAACGTTGGACGCACATTAAGTTAGTCCGTTCAAATAGATGAGAATAAAAAATATATTCTTCGTTTGCAATATACGTCACAGCCGCCATCTTGGTTGAACTGCAAAGGATTTCTAATTAGTATCTATTGTTCATTTAACCAACATGGCCGGCGGTCTTTTATCTTTTGAATCTCATGAGGATGATTGAAAACGAGCAATAGAGATTAAAACATTTATTAACAATATTTAATMTGTAGGAAATGCTGGAAATTCTCTTCGTCAACACAATGGCTACAAGTTCTCTACTAAAGACAAGGATAATGATGCTARTCCGWATGGATCGTGTGCCTCACAGTTTTCTGGTGCGTGGTGGTATTTTCTTTGTCATGACTCGAATCTGAATGGTCTCTACCTTAACGGAACAAATGAGCAATATGGAAAAGGTATTACCTGGGCAGACTGGAAAGGACTCAAGTATTCTTATAAAAAGGCTGAAATGAAGATTCGCCCAAATATCGATACCTGATAATCAAAMGCAATTTGACAACTATCATACCAGAGAGACTTTAAGCTCACAACTGTTATTACTTGAGCATATTGGACATTTATACAACAAATTAA